CCCATAAATGTTAAGTTAGTTTGTAAAAACATTTTGGTTTTAATTAACTCCAATAAAAACATTTTGAAAAAGTTGATTTTTATTCTGCAAAATATTGTGAATTATTTTTCCAGCATTTTCAAGTCGGTAAATACCTAACATTTCTCAGTAGTTTAATGAGGAAATTTTAAATACATAAACGGATTTGTTCGGTTCAGTTGGCGTTCTGTTCTAGTTCAGTTCTGGTTCAGTTCTAGTTCAGTTCTAGTTCAGTTCTAGTTCAGTTCTAGTTCAGTTCTAGTTCAGTTCTAGTTCAGTTCTAGTTCAGTTCTAGTTCAGTTCTAGTTCAGTTCTAGTTCAGTTCTAGTTCAGTTCTAGTTCAGTTCTAGTTCAGTTCTAGTTCAGTTCTAGTTCAGTTCTAGTTCAGTTCTAGTTCAGTTCTAGTTCAGTTCTAGTTCAGTTCTAGTTCAGTTCTAGTTCAGTTCTAGTTCAGTTCTAGTTCAGTTCTAGTTCAGTTCTAGTTCAGTTCTAGTTCAGTTCTAGTTCAGTTCTAGTTCAGTTCTAGTTCAGTTCTAGTTCAGTTCTAGTTCAGTTCTAGTTCAGTTCTAGTTCAGTTCTAGTTCAGTTCTAGTTCAGTTCTAGTTCAGTTCTAGTTCAGTTCTAGTTCAGTTCTATTCATGTAAACGAAATTTTACTATTGCAATGATACTAAACACTCATTACCGAAAACATGTTTATTTTCTTAACAATTAATTAACACTATCAGGTTGAAAATGACCAAAATGTTAAGCGGCTTATAAAGAGCACTTAATGACATTAAGTTCTTAAAAGCCTTTTCATTCAAGTGTTAAAATCTCTAAACTTACAAGAATTTAAAATATGTATGTGAAGCAGTAAACAGGCATAGAGAGCCAGTCAGGCATGCTATCGATAGAGAACAGCTAAGACCAATATGTGCTAAATTTAATTAAATTTGAATAGTTTTATGAAGGAATTAAATTACAGCACAATATTGGTAAAATTAATAGCAACATATTTTCATTATTTATTAAATAGTAGTAATCACCTGTTGCGATTCATTACTCTGTGATGCATGTGGTAATAAGTTGTCATTACTATTCCTTATTGTATTCTGCATAAGACAAATTTTTCACCTTGAAAGTTTCCTTTGAATTTGAAGAAGTAAAATGATATTCATTTTAATAACAAACATCCATATCTGCTTTCAGATATCTTTTTAAAATGATTTCAAAGAATTTTTTTATACATTTACAATTATATATTTTTATTTCTCTATTCTGTTTATCTTTGGATTCATCTGTCGTTATTTATATATTTACGTTTGTCATATTTGTACGATATGCTTTATATTCTCTTGTCTGTTTTAGTCAATGCATTTGTCAATCAGCCAGTTTCTACATTATTTTTTTTTGTTTTGTCTGTCTACATACTACTTTTTCTCAGGATGTCATGGTTTTTATTTAAATTCCTACTTTGTATAATAAATCTGTATGTCACTTACATACATATGTACTTTCTACAGCACCACAGACATTCATTGTTTGTATGTATAACTCCATATCATCTATCTGTTCATTTATCCAACCATCCATCTATTCATTCACTCAGTCAGTCAAGACAGTCATACAATCCATCCAAAAACACTTGTGTTGTCAGCAAGATTGTTTTTCGTTTTTGTCGATTGAGTATTATTACTTCCAGTATTACTGAGTATGTAATGTAGGAGTACCAATTGATCTCCAGGATTTTTCAAGAATTTTATTTAAATTTTTTTACTTTTATTTTTAAGCATAGAACATCAGAAACTGAACTAGAACTAGAACTGAACTAGAACTGAACTAGAACTGAACTGAACTGAACTAGAACTGAACTGAACTAGAACTGAACTAGAACTGAACTAGAACTGAACTAGAACTGAACTAGAACTGAACTAGAACTGAACTAGAACTGAACTAGAACTGAACTAGAACTGAACTAGAACTGAACTAGAACTGAACTAGAACTGAACTAGAACTGAACTAGAACTGAACTAGAACTGAACTAGAACTGAACTAGAACTGAACTAGAACTGAACTAGAACTGAACTAGAACTGAACTAGAACTGAACTAGAACTGAACTAGAACTGAACTAGAACTGAACTAGAACTGAACTAGAACTGAACTAGAACTGAACTAGAACTGAACTAGAACTGAACTAGAACTGAACTAGAACTGAACTAGAACTGAACTAGAACTGAACTAGAACTGAACTAGAACTGAACTAGAACTGAACTAGAACTGAACTAGAACTGAACTAGAACTGAACTAGAACTGAACTAGAACTGAACTAGAACTGAACTAGAACCTGAACTAGAACTGAACTAGAACTGAACTAGAACTGAACTAGAACTGAACTAGAACTGAACTAGAACTGAACTAGAACTGAACTAGAACTGAACTAGAACTGAACTAGAACTGAACTAGAACTGAACTAGAACTGAACTAGAACTGAACTAACTGAACTAGAACTGAACTAGAACTGAACTAAACTAGAACTAGAACTGAACTAGAACTGAACTAGAACTGAACTAGAACTGAACTAGAACTGAACTAGAACTGAACTAGAACTGAACTAGAACTGAACTAGAACTGAACTAGAACTGAACTAGAACTGAACTAGAACTGAACTAAACTGAACTAGAACTGAACTAGAACTGAACTAGAACTGAACTAGAACTGAACTAGAACTGAACTAGAACTGAACTAGAACTGAACTAGAACTGAACTAGAACTGAACTAGAACTGAACTAGAACTGAACTAGAACTGAACTAGAACTGAACTAGAACTGAACTAGAACTGAACTAGAACTGAACTAGAACTGAACTAGAACTGAACTAAACTAGAACTGAACTAAACTAGAACTGAACTAGAACTGAACTAGAACTGAACTAGAACTGAACTAGAACTGAACTAGAACTGAACTAGAACTGAACTAGAACTGAACTAGAACTGAACTAGAACTGAACTAGAACTGAACTAGAACTGAACTAGAACTGAACTAGAACTGAACTAGAAACTAGAACTGAACTAGAACTGAACTAGAACTGAACTAGAACTGAACTGAACTAGAACTGAACTAGAACTGAACTAGAACTGAACTAGAACTGAACTAGAACTGAACTAGAACTGAACTAGAACTGAACTAGAACTGAACTAGAACTGAACTAGAACTGAACTAGAACTGAACTAGAACTGAACTAGAACTGAACTAGAACTGAACTAGAACTGAACTAGAACTGAACTAGAACTGAACTAGAACTGAACTAGAACTGACCTAGAACTGAACTAGAACTGAACTAGAACTGAACTAGAACTGAACTAGAACTGAACTAGAACTGAACTAGAACTGAACTAGAACTGAACTAGAACTGAACTAGAACTGAACTAGAACTGAACTAGAACTGAACTAGAACTGAACTAGAACTGAACTAGAACTGAACTAGAACTGAACTAGAACTGAACTAGAACTGAACTAGAACTGAACTAGAACTGAACTAGAACTGAACTAGAACTGAACTAGAACTGAACTAGAACTGAACTAGAACTGAACTAGAACTGAACTAGAACTGAACTAGAACTGAACTAGAACTGAACTAGAACTGAACTAGAACTGAACTAGAACTGAACTAGACTGACTAGAACTGAACTAGAACTGAACTGGAACTGAACTAGAACTGAACTAGAACTGAACTAGAACTGAACTAGAACTGAACTAGAACTGAACTAGAACTGAACTAGAACTGAACTAGAACTGAACTAAAACTGAACTAGAACTGAACTTTTGAATTAAATTACGTATTGTATTATATCTTGATTGAAGCTACTTCCACGTCTTGACACTTCACTACAAAAAAAAACTACTTCACCTTAAATAAGACTTAAATACATCCATTACTATATTCTCTCTCATACATATTATCAACTCTTTTATATTCTGAAAATCTATAGTTTAATGCAGCTGTTGCTGTTGATTTTATCGTTTTGTTTTAACGCAACATTAAGTAGCCGAATGAGATGTAAAAGAAAATGATATGACAGAAATTCAAAAACAACAGCAAAAAAAATCATAGAAAATTTGTAAAAAATAAGATTAAATAACAGAGATTTAATAGAAATGGGGGAAAAGTAGGAAAACGTAATTACAGAATTGTATTCGAGATAGTACATTATCATTTTTTTGCTTTACTTTCTTTACTCAACTGCAAATATGTAAAAATGTGTTCGTTCGTTCATAGTTGACAAGTAACATTTTTGAAATTGACAAGAAATTGTTACCAAAGTTGGAGTTGGTTTATTAAGCCTTTATTAAGGCAAAAACATTTACATTAGGGGGGTTTAAAGTTCAAAGAATGAGACAAAAATAATGAAAGGAAATTTTGAATATTTGATTGGCTATTTGATATGTCCTGTTCTACGAAGTCGAATGATTTTTTTTTTACATTGACACTGTTGTATTGTATTTATTTTGTATATTTAAATTTTTACATTTCAATTGAATACCAAAAAATTCTCTTCTTGTTATTAAATATTTTTATTCTACTTATTAATTTCGTTTATTAACACAAAATATACAAAAATTCGAAAAATTATTTCCGTTTTTTATTATTTATTTTTACATCAGTTCGATTGTTGTGTTGTCCACATGCGTTGAAAGTTGTTATGACAATTGTGAATATTAATTGAACAAAATATTTCTCTGAACTCGTATTGATATAAATTAATATGAAAGAAAGTTGGCTGTAAACAAAATTTGAACAGTTTCATTAAAAAAAAAAACAATAAATCGTTTGTTAAGTATACAAAGCTGTTAAGTCCATTATTTGCATTTTAAACTAGAAACAAAAAGAAAACTTGTTCTCTTGTTTTATAAACCTTTTATAAAATAACAAATGTTGTCCTTATTAATGGGCTTTAAAATCTTAAATATTTATTAACGTCTATTCTTCTTTTTTCTTTTTAGATTCTTCTATTTGTATCATTTTGCATTTTATGCCTATCACTATCGTTTCAGTGGTCAAAATCGTAGTTTGGCCTTGGTTTCGTCATGGCTGTTTATACAGGTATGTTAAAATTCTGGATATAATTATATGACTGATTATATAAATTACTTTTTTGAGATATGAAATAATTTTCCCTTATTTTATAATGTTAATCTAAAGGCAAGATATCTGTCACAGAACTAGTGAAGTAACCCGTCTGAACTAGGTTCTTTTGTTTAGGATCTATATACTTTTCTTTGCTTTTGAACGGCTCACAGACATTTTGTTGTTGTTTCTTCTCGTTGATCGATTTGATCCCTTTTATATATCATTTATGATTAAAAGAAATTACACTAAATTTAGGCTATAGCTCAGACTCTAAAGTAGACTAGAATATAGTCCAACGGTACGACTATAGACTTGACAAAAGCCCAGACTTTAGACTAGACTGTAGTCCAGACATTAGACTACACTATAGTCCTGTAAATAATCTAGACCAAAGTCCAAACTATAGATTAGACTATAGTCCAGACTATAGATTATACTATAGTCCAGACTATTGATTAGACTATAGTCTAGACTGTAGTCCATTCTATAGATTGTTCTATAGTCTAAAGTATAGATTAGAATATAGCCCACACTATTGATTAGATTATAGTCCATACTCTATATTATACTATAATACAGACTATAGATTAGACTATAGCCCAGACTACAGATTATACTATAGATCAGACTATAAGTAAGACTAAAGCCCAGATTATAGATTAAACTATAGACCAGATTATAGATTAGTCTATGGATTAGACTATATTTCAGACTATAGATTAGACTATAGTCCAGACTATAGTTTAGACTATAGTCCAGACTATAGTTTAGACTATAATCCAGACTAAAGTTTAGACTATAGTCCAGACTATAGTTTAGACTATAGACAAGACTATAGTTTAGACTATAGTCCAGACTATAGTTTAGACTATAATCCAGACTAAAGTTTAGACTATAGTGCAGACTATAGTCCAGACTATAGTTTAGACTGCAGTCCAGCCTATAGTTTAGACTGTAGTCCAGACTACAGTTTAGACTGTAGTCCAGTCTATAGTTTAGACTGTACTCCAGACTATAGTTCAGACTATAGTTTCGACTATAGTTCAGACTATAGTTTCGACTATAGTTTAGATTATAGTCCGGACTATAGTGTAGACTATAGGTTAGACTATAGTCCAGACTTTGAAAGCATATATAAGTGATAACAAAATAAGCTTATTTTTCAATTTAAACGTGTTTTAACGAAGTTATAAGCGATTTTAGTTTCTTCAAGGTTTTCGACCAAATTATCGATTTTTGAAGGGAAATATAAGTGATCACAAAATAAGCTTATTTTTCAATTTAAACGTGTTTTAACGAAGTTATAAGCGATTTTAGTTTTATAAGGTTTTCCGACCAAAATATCGATTTTTGAAGGGAAATATTAGTGATCAGAAAATAAGCTTATTTTTCAATATAAACGTGTTTTAACAAAGTTATAAGCGATTTTAGTTTCTTCTAGGTTTTCGATCAAAATATCGATTTTTGAAGGGAAATATAAGTGATCACAAAATAAGCTTATTTTCAATTTGAACGTGTTTTAACGAAGTTATAAGCGATTTTAGTTTCTTCAAGGTTTCCGACCAAAATATCGATTTTTGAAGGAAAATATAAGTGATCACAAAATAAGCTTATTTTTCAATTTGAACGTGTTTTAACGAAGTTATAAGCGATTTTAGTTTCTTCAAGGTTTCCGATCAAAATATCGATTTTTGAAGGGAAATATAAGTGATCACAAAATAAGCTTATTTTTCAATTTAAACGTGTTTTAACGAAGTTATTAGCGATTTTAGTTTTATCAAGGTTTTCGACCAAAATATCGATTTTTGAAGGGAAATATAAGTGATCACAAAATAAGCTTATTTTTCAATTTAAACGTGTTTTAAAGAAGTTATAAACGATTTTAATTTCTTCAAGGTTTCCGACCAAAATATCGATTTTTGAAGGGAAATATAAGTGATCACAAAATAAGCTTATTTTTCAATTTAAACGTGTTTTAAAGAAGTTATAAGCGATTTTAGTTTCTTCAAGTTTTCCGACCAAAATATCGATTTTTGAAGGGAAATATAAGTGATCACAAAATAGGCTTATTTTTCAATTTAAACGTGTTTTAACGAAGTTATAAGCGATTTTAGTTTCTTCAAGGTTTCCGACCAAAATATCGATTTTTGAAGGGAAATATAAGTGATCACAAAATAGGCTTATTTTTCAATTTAAACGTGTTTTAACGAAGTTATAAGCGATTTTAGTTTCTTCAAGGTTTTCGATCAAAATATCGATTTTTGAAGGGAAATATAAGTGATCACAAAATAAGCTTATTTTTCAATTTGAACGTGTTTTAACGAAGTTATAAGCGATTTTAGTTTCTTCAAGGTTTCCGATCAAAATATCGATTTTTGAAGGGAAATATAAGTGATCACAAAATAAGCTTATTTTTCAATTTAAACGTGTTTTAACGAAGTTATAAGCGATTTTAGTTTTATCAAGGTTTCCGATCAAAATATCGATTTTTGAAGGGAAATATAAGTGATCACAAAATAAGCTTATTTTTCAATTTAAACGTGTTTTAACGAAGTTATAAGCGATTTTAGTTTTATCAAGGTTTTCGATCAAAATATCAATTTTTGAAGGGAAATATAAGTGATCACAAAATAAGCTTATTTTTCAATTTAAACGTGTTTTAACGAAGTTATAAGCGATTTTAGTTTCTTCAAGGTTTTCGACCAAAATATCGATTTTTGAAGGGAAATATAAGTGATCACAAAATAAGCTTATTTTTCAATTTGAACGTGTTTTAACGAAGTTATAAGCGATTTTAGTTTCTTCAAGGTTTCCGATCAAAATATCGATTTTTGAAGGGAAATATAAGTGATCACAAAATAAGCTTATTTTTCAATTTAAACGTGTTTTAACGAAGTTATAAGCGATTTTAGTTTTATCAAGGTTTCCGATCAAAATATCGATTTTTGAAGGGAAATATAAGTGATCACAAAATAAGCTTATTTTTCAATTTAAACGTGTTTTAACGAAGTTATAAGCGATTTTAGTTTTATCAAGGTTTTCGATCAAAATATCAATTTTTGAAGGGAAATATAAGTGATCACAAAATAAGCTTATTTTTCAATTTAAACGTGTTTTAACGAAGTTATAAGCGATTTTAGTTTCTTCAAGGTTTCCGACCAAAATATCGATTTTTGAAGGAAAATATAAGTGATCACAAAATAAGCTTATTTTTCAATTTGAACGTGTTTTAACGAAGTTATAAGCGATTTTAGTTTCATCAAGGTTTCCGACCAAAATATCGATTTTTGAAGGGAAATACAAGTGATCACAAAATAAGCTTATTTTTCAATTTAAACGTGTTTTAACGAAGTTATAAGCGATTTTAGTTTTATCAAGGTTTTCGACCAAAATATCGATTTTTGAAGGGAAATATAAGTGATCACAAAATAAGCTTATTTTTCAATTTAAACGTGTTTTAACGAAGTTATAAGCGATTTTAGTTTCTTCAAGGTTTTCGATCAAAATATCGATTTTTGAAGGGAAATATAAGTGATCACAAAATAAGCTTATTTTTCAATTTAAACGTGTTTTAACGAAGTTATAAACGATTTTAGTTTTATCAAGGTTTTCGATCAAAATATCGATTTTTGAAGGGAAATATAAGTGATCACAAAAGGGAAATATAAGTGATCACAAAATAAGCTTATTTTTCAATTTAAACGTGTTTTAACGAAGTTATAAGCGATTTTAGTTTCTTCAAGGTTTTCGATAAAAATATCGATTTTTGAAGGGAAATATAAGTGATCACAAAATAAGCTTATTTTTCAATTTAAACGTGTTTTAACGAAGTTATAAGCGATTTTATTTTCTTCAAGGTTTTCGATCAAAATATCGATTTTTGAAGGGAAATATAAGTAATCACAAAATAAGCTTATTTTTCAATTTAAACGTGTTTTAACGAAGTTATAAGCGATTTTAGTTTCTTCAAGGTTTTCGACCAAAATATCAATTTTTGAAGGGAAATATAAGTGATCACAAAATAGGCTTATTTTTCAATTTAAACGTGTTTTAACGAAGTTATAAGCGATTTTAGTTTCATCAAGGTTTTCGATCAAAATATCGATTTTTGAAGGGAATTATAAGTGATCACAAAATAAGCTTATTTTGCAATTTAAACGTGTTTTAAAGAAGTTATAAGCGATTTTAGTTTTATCAAGGTTTCCGATCAAAATATCGATTTTTGAAGGGAAATATAAGTGATCACAAAATAAGCTTATTTTTCAATTTAAACGTGTTTTAACGAAGTTATAAACGATTTTAGTTTTATCAAGGATTCCGATCAAAATATCGATTTTTGAAGGGAAATATAAGTGATCACAAAAGGGAAATATAAGTGATCACAAAATAAGCTTATTTTTCAATTTGAACGTGTTTTAACGAAGTTATAAGCGATTTTAGTTTCTTCAAGGTTTCCGACCAAAATATCGATTTTTGAAGGGAAATATAAGTGATCACAAAATAAGCTTATTTTTCAATTTAAACGTGTTTTAACGAAGTTATAAACGATTTTAGTTTTATCAAGGTTTCCGATCAAAATATCGATTTTTGAAGGGAAATATAAGTGATCACAAAAGGGAAATATAAGTGATCACAAAATAAGCTTATTTTTCAATTTGAACGTGTTTTAACGAAGTTATAAGCGATTTTAGTTTCTTCAAGGTTTCCGACCAAAATATCGATTTTTGAAGGGAAATATAAGTGATCACAAAATAAGCTTATTTTTCAATTTAAACGTGTTTTAACGAAGTTATAAGCGATTTTAGTTTTATCAAGGTTTTCGATCAAAATATCAATTTTTGAAGGGAAATATAAGTGATCACAAAATAAGCTTATTTTTCAATTTAAACGTGTTTTAACGAAGTTATAAGCGATTTTAGTTTCTTCAAGGTTTTCGACCAAAATATCGATTTTTGAAGGGAAATATAAGTGAT